ATCAACATTCGGCCAAATTACATCTAAGATGAACAATCCAAGAAAAAGTAATCTCCAACTGAGGAAACAAAACATACTGCCTGGTTTAACTTTATTAGGGAGAAACGTAATTCAGTAGTAAACAAAACATAGCGACTAAACAGCACAGATATAGGGATACAACATCCTCTCCTAGGTCTTTACCAGGGAATAACACTTAGACTTCAATGGGAAATCAAATATTTTCAAAAGTAACGCTTCTACTAGGGATTTATAAAAATCAATTTCAAGTAGAGCAGACGGTCATCAAATCATCAAACATTCACTGGGGAATTCAGGACCATTTTGAAAGAGGAAACACACAAACTTTGTTAAGGCGTATAATGTCCTATCATCAAGCCATTAACTGTGGATTTCGCACTGACTTTACTGGGGAGGTTAACACCACATCCTCAAAGGAAAACCAATATACGTTCTTCACTAGAGAAATCGGAGACCAGAGTTCTTCAAGAGTGATTATTGTACCAACTTCTCTGGGAAGAAAGAACCTCTATTAAACAAACGAAAACTTTTACTGGAGGAATCTGGGATTGAATCTTCATATCATGTAAACTTGGAAAAGAGGAGAAATGAACCACAACTTGACCGGGGACACTGGAGTCACAAATCAATACATCGAGAACATCCTGAGAAAAACTTCCCTGGGAAACAAAACATCTCAAAACAACTAGAGTTCGTCCGTTCCTGGGATCTCCACTTTTGTTTTCCTCTTGTGTCACAAATTTTAAAGTAACAGTAAATTGTAATATCTTTTTGAAAATCAATTTTGTTATTTAATCTTTTCACTTTGAAAGTTATTATCAATAATAAATGGAGTCTTTGCAAGCTTAATAAAATAAGAACTACAAAGAATTGGATAAAAGCTCAAATTTCATTAATAGAATGGTAGTCTGAATGGCGAGACTCCATGGATGATTACAAAGTTCGGAAAATGGTAATATATAATGGAAAATATACATTGAGATACAATGACCACTATCCCCTCTAACAACTTTTGAAATCCTGACCAGCAGCTTATGTTGAAGTATGATGAGGATCCAAGAAGATTGTTGCTCCAACGATCAAGTCTTGTCTGATGTAGTTACTTGCCAAGAAAGCCCCTAACTTTTTCCTAAGCTGCCCTTGCAGGTTTTCAACTTAGCGGGAAATTTATTCTATTTTGGTCTCTAATTTTTGCCTAAACCACCCTTTCGGGTTTTCGCCTACCGAGACGCTCTTTTTTTCCTAAGCCACCCTTTTGGGTTTTCAACTTAGCGAGTTGTTCTTTTATTTCTTTAGGCGAAGTATTTCTTGACTACATCAGCATTCATGGGACGTGGGAACTCCTCGCCATTCATAGTTTCAAGAATTAATGCGCCGCCAGAGAAGGCTTCCTTGACAACATATGGGCCTTCAAAATTGGGAGTCCACTTGCCCCTAGAATCAGCGTTGAAATACATGATCTTCCTGAGCACGAGGTCGCCTTCTCTAAATTCACAAGGTTTGACCTTATTATCAAAAGCTTTCTTCATTCTCTTCTGATATAACTGTCCATGAAACAAAGTTGTCATTCTCTTTTCTTAGATCAAATTCAATTGGTCAAACCTGTTCAGGACCCATTCAGCCTCTGACAACTTGGTTTCCATTATCACACGCAAAGAGGGGATCTCAACCTCGACTGGGAGTACAGCTTCCATTCCATACACAAGGGAAAACGGGGTTGCTCCTATTGAAGTGCGGACAGATGTTCGATATCCATGCAAAGCAAAAGGGAGCATTTCATGCCAATCCTTATAAGTAACAACCATCTTCTGAATAATTTTCTTGATATTCTTATTAGCAGCTTCAACAACCTAATTCATCTTTGGCCTGTACGGAGAGGAATTATGATGGACAATCTTGAATTCTTCACACAGTTATGTCATCATTTTATTTTTTAGATTTGAGCCATTGTCGGTGATAATTCTGCTCGGCACACCATACCAACATATAAGATTATTCTTGATGAAACGCACAACCACCTGCTTAGTGGCATTAGCATATGAAGCAGCCTCCACCCACTTGGTGAAGTTATCAATTGCTACCAAGATGAAACGGTGTCCATTCGAAGCTTTGGGTTCTATCATCCCAATCATGTCAATAACCAACATAGAGAAAGACCATGGGGAAGAGATCACATTAAGAAGTGTCGGAGGCACATGAATCTTGTCCGCATAAATCTGGAATTTATGGCACTTCTTTGCAAATTTGTAACAGTCAGATTCCATTTTCAGCCAATAGTATCATGCCCTTAGCATGTTTTTAGCCATCGAATGTCCATTGGCATGAGTTCCAAATGAACCTTCATGAATCTCATGCATCAACATGTCTGCTTCGTGTCTATCCATGCATCTGAGCAAGACCATGTCATAATTTCTCTTATACAACACTTTTCAATGAGGAAGAAACTTCCAGCCAATCTTCTCAATGTCTTTCTATCTTTCTTCAAAGCACCAATCGGGTATTCCTGAGTCTGTAGAAAATGCTTGATATCATAATACCAAGGTTTCTCGTCTGCTACCTCTTCTGTTGTAAACACATGAGCGGGCCTATCCAGTCGCCGATCCATAATTTGAGGTATATCATTCCAAGTATTCACTTGATACATAGAAGCCAAAGTTGCCAGAGCATCCGCCATTTGATTTTCATCTCTTGGAATATGATGGAATTAAACTTTATTAAAGAAGGGTAACAACCTTCTAGCATAATCTTTGTAAGGGATCAAGTCGGGGTTACGAGTATCCCATTCTCCTTTAATTTGAATTATTACCAAAGCTGAATCACCATACACATCTAGAATTTTAATTCTGAGATCAATAGCTTCCTCGAGACCCATGATGCAAGCCTCATATTCTACCATATTATTAGTATAATCAAATGTCAACCTTGTAGTAAAAGGAATGTGAGATCTGTGGGGTGTGACAATCACGACACCAATTCCTTTACCATAAGCATTCATAGCTCCATCAAATATCATACTCCATCGAGATTCAGAATCAGGACCTTCCTTAGGCAATGGTTCATCACAATCTTTCACTTTCAGGAACATCACATCCTCATCGGGAAATTCATACTCTACAGACTGATGATCCTCCACTGGTTGGTGAGCAAGATAATCTGCCAATACACTGCTTTTAATAGCTTTTTGAGTGCGGTATTTAATGTCATATTCAGATAACAACATCTGCCATCGTACAATTCTCCCAGTCAGAGCAGGCTTTTCAAAATGTACTTGATTGGATCCATCTTGGAGATCAACCAAGTGGTGTGATTCAACATATATTGCCGCAAACGTTTTGCCTCCCAAGCCAGAGCACAACATGTCTTTTCCAACATGGAATACCGTGACTCACAATCAGTAAACTTTTTACTGAGATAATAAATGGCATATTCTTTCTTCCCTGTTTCATCTCGTTGTCCCAGAATACAACCCATGGATTTATCTAACACTGTCAGATACATAATCAACAGTCTTCCTTCGACAGGAGGGAGCAAGATAGGAGGTTCAAGTAGATATTCTTTAAAACTTTCAAATGCCCTTTGGCAGTCATCCGTCCACACACAACTTTGAGCTTTCTTTAACAACTTAAAGATCGATTCACATGTTGCAGTCATGTGGGAAATAAATCTGGAAATATAATTCAAACGCCCGAGGAACCCTCTGACTTGCTTTTCAGTTCTTCGTGCTGGCTGTAATACCCCAAATTTGTCCTACCCCTTTGATTTTATCTAGCTTACGCATCTTGCACTCTTCATTCCATTTGCATACCCTCCGTTAGGTCATTTTGCACGTCATGCATCGTTGGACAATAATTTGGCATGGGATTGAGGATATTGAGGAATTATGGTCTCTTCGTGCTTTTAGGTTCTCATCTTTATGCAAGCTTGGATCAACATGGTTCTTTATCAATCAGGGTTTGAGGGATTAGAATTTGTGATCATGGTCGTTGGGAATTTCCTCTTTTATTAAGATACTTATTTTCATCAAAAGACAAAGCCACCTTTCCAAGTTACTTCAGTGAGCAGACAAATTAGGGTTGCGAGTTATTAGGGTTTACATTTCATCATGGTTGAGTTTTCTGAATTCAATTGAAGATTCATTGTGCTCCAAAGCGGGTTTGGTGTAAGACTTAGACTCCAAAGTGGTTATGTCATTACTCGGATTTCAAGTCATAATGCAAAGGAGGGAATAGTAATGAATCAAGTTTCTATGGATGAAGACTTTACTTACAAGGAAGTCATACATTTGAATTAGGGTTTTATTATTGGTGGCACAAGGTAGTGGTGGGTCTAATACACCATGTCACTCGGGATCAGTGTTTCCTAATTGATTATGAAGGTCTTTATTTCAAGCTCAAGCATGGCTACTTATGTTTCTATACATCACAAAGGGAGTATGCTGAAACAATCTTTAACGAAGTCTTGTGGAAGTCTCTTTCATTCTGACCGGAGTGTTTGGCATTACATGAATAAGGGAATCACGATTATGCTTCATATTTACACCATTAAAGGAGTATTCAAAGTTAAATTCCATGGAAAATATAAAAGACAATACTTTGAGCACTTAAGAAAATTGATATTGAATTCAAGATATTCAATACTCCTAATTTCATCACACTATCAAACTGTCAGCGGAGTTCAATTTGAAATAAAAGAAAGAAATAGGTGAAGCTTCTCCATTAGAGTCCAAGTTCCATACAAGAGTTACTCAAAAAAGGAATATACAATTTTAAAGAAGGTTTTAAAAGGAAAGGATTACAAGATATTATCCTACAAAATCTAATCATTATGTATAACTTCATGTTTCTTCTACACTAAAATCCATAGTTTTCATGCTCCTGACTTTTATTCTCTCGATTAAGTCTTCATTATTCATGACCAAAACTCAAAACATGTTGAATCCTTATCTCAGCAATATGCTCAGCTTTGAATTATCCATGCTTTCAAATTGCTCCAAATCTGCCTACTGTACTAAAAGACCAAAAGAAAACATCAAAATCCATCCATGGCATTATCTAAAATCAGAAGAACAATATACATGATTATCATATATCAGTTAAACAAGCTAGACAATCCTCAATTCAAGTAAGGAAAGTCATTCTGGAAACTAGAGCAGTCTGTTTTAAGTTTAGTACACCAGGCGCATCATGTGTTATAGCAGGGTGTGACTCGAAACAATTCCAGGCTAGCTATGAGCTATTGAAAATGCAGAGATAGAATGTTTAAGAGCATGTTTTCTATGGAAAATATTTGCTGATCCTAATCTGCTAGAAAAATGGATATAGAAGTTGAAATTGGACGAAGTTACGAAGGAACCTGGTTATGGAAATCTCATGTCCGCAAGTTTCGATGACAAAATAATTTCATTTTACTTGGCACTCCAAAAATTCTCTCTTATATTTCACTAGCCCACATGATTAACGATATGCCCGAGTCGGTTATTTCCTTAACCATCTATATATCTAACTATCCTGTAACTTCCCCAAACCTTTCCTAACCATTTTTCTAATAGATGTTCTAACTGTTTCTAAACATAACTAACAAACAGCCTCTAACAAAAACTCATAACATTTTCCTAACAGCCTAACAGAATCCTTTCCAACTGTTTTTAACCAACCCGGCCTCAGTTCAATATAACAGATTTTTTTCTTCCTTCTAACTACAAAGGTTCCAGCAGAAAACAGATAACAAAATGACAGATTAACAATTTCTAACAACTAACCTATTAGCAATCCCTAACCATTTCCTAACTAACTCCCTAACAGCCATAACAACCTCTAACCCTTCTAACGGCTTCTTAACAAAAATAACAGAAAATGGAAAGAGGAGAGGATACAATGGTTCAAGAGCAAAAAAATTAGAATGATAGAAGAACTCACCATCAAAAAATAATCGCAAAAACTCTCTGAAGAATGACATGAAACTAAGAGCTCTTCATTCTCTCACAACGCACATCTTTGCCAATCACTTCTGCAAGCCGCTCGTCATCATCTTCAAATTGCAACCATTCTTCTTCAAATTCACTGATTTACAATAACAACATCAACAACACTACAAAAGCGAATGTAACCACATCAGCTTCATCATTCATTGTCATCAACGTACAACAACAATTTCAACAACATCGCAATAACGCAACAACCAAAAACACAAAAAGAACACGGATGCGAAGAAAAGAAGAATGTTTAATCCGATCACAAACATACCTGGAGCGAGATTTCTTGGTTTTCTATCATGGATCGGCACCGTTGAAGCACCAGACAGTTCTTCCGGAGATGTTGGAGTGACGAACGGAAGCGATCGCGGTTCGTTGAAGGAGAACGATGAACAGGAATGCATGGTCATGGCGTTACCGACGAGACCGCTGCAGAGTCTTAGAAGAAAGGCTAGCCGTCACGGAAGAGAGAACGAGAGAGGATTGAGCAGGTTTTGGAATTGGGAGCGTCACAAGAAGACCCCTAACGACACCGTTCCACCCCCTTTTAAATTCTTTATTTATTTTATTTTTTATTTCTGATAATAAATGATCATGAGATATAGAAAATATGCTGACTGAATTTGAAGTTTGGAGTGGACTGGTCCAAAGCTCCATAGGCCCGCCATATTTTTCCTTTGAAACTTGATGTGCACAAAAAGGCCTTATTCCTTTCAGCCCACACCATTGGTTTTTGGAGCTTAAAGGTTTTGAAAAAAAAACTTGCTGGCAGACTCAATGAAGTGGGCCTAGTGCCCAGACTGCATCACACGTGGAATCCAGTTTGCAACCCCTCTTTGGCCTCTTTTCCTATTTTGTAGTTTCTTTTGAACGGTTTTGTGAATTGTTTAGATTTGTTTGAACTTTTTCTCCACATGATAAAAGTGTAAAATCAATAAAATTTGTCATTCGATTTTTAGGAATCAATTCTTTAGTTTTTGGTAGTTTTTTTATCATAATAAAAAAAACTAATGAAAATAGTAGAATATTTTAATTTTTTTAGGTTTTCTCTTCAGAATTTTATTAGAGTTTTCTACTATTTTATGTTTAATAATCATTTTCATTGTCATTTCTAGTTAAGATTTTGTGATAGTATGTTGATGCAAATTTCGCAATGTGGAATGCTCGGGGATTAATTCGATGATCACTCATGTGGAGTAACTTCTGTAGAGTTTTCTTATTGCTTGCATGGTTTTGAAGAGGCAACGGACTTTCTCCGTTCGGTATCATTACAACCCTATTTTACTCCTCATTTCGCATTTTATTTCTTTCTAGATATCATGAGAAGTAGGAACTAAAGAGTGTGCGCTCGAAATCGCTGTTTAAAGACCTATAGCAGGCATTCCGTACTTCATTTGTTATATGTGTTGTGCTTGTGTTTGTTTTTGTGATTGTTGATCGATGAGTCACTCAATTTAGAAATTGAGATCACGACTTCGCTCTCAGTGCATGCTCCGTATAGGATTTTATCGCTTTCCTTTATTTCTTGTTGATCGATGAGTCACTCAATTTAGAAATTGAGATCACGACTTCGCTCTCATTGCATGTTCCCTATAGGATAGTTTTGTTAGACTTTCTTTGGCATGCTAACTTAAATAGGATCTCTTTAGGTGTACTCTCTTGAGTTTACTGGCTTGCTTGCTTTATCCTTGTACATACCATGTTCCCTTAGGATGCGCTTGCTCCGTTTGGACGCAAGTTAGACCTTAGGTTGTAAACCATGCATGATAACAATGGGTAGAAACTTCCCCTTTCATCCTTGACATAGGACTACCATTGTATGATAACATTAGGTTAGAGATAGGCTAGTCTCCCATAGACTTTTTTCTTTCCCTTTTTGCATCCTTGCATCTAAAACAAAAACTTATTTTCTTAGCAAATCAAAAACATGCTAATCATACTTAAACCCTTTTTCAAGGTAACAAAAACACAAACCAATTCAAACCACTTTGTGCGTCCAAGCACCATTTCTCTGAAACCCTTTTCAGGTAAGGACATAATTAATTTACTTATGTGCCAACGCATAAGTCTCCAAAGGTCGAGTTGCGGAAGAAGGCGGAATTAACTCCGTCCATAAAAAACACAAAACAAACAAAACATGTGAGCCGAACTACGGTAGCTCTGATTCCTCAAAAGGGATACGTAGGCATTGGGGTAGGGCCCAAGCGAGCACAATTTTATTTTCCCTACATTCTTTTCTCATTTCTTTTGCATGCATTCTCCCTTTAGTAGTATAATAAAGAGTAAGCATAAATTAAACACACCCATAAGATAGACAACAAGAGTGGATACCGTAGAGTACTACGGGTGTGTGGGGTGCTAATACCTTCCCCTCGCATAACAGACTCCCTTACCCGATCTCTCGGTCGCAAGACCGTGACTTCTCCCTTCTCAGGTTTTCTCGATGTTTACCTTTCCCTACATGTGGGATAAAAGACGTTCGATGGCGACTTCATTGTTTGATGATTTTTAGCCGATTGTTCCAGCTGGCGACTTCACTGGGGACAGGTCGACCAAATGCTGGTCCATCCCGGAGTCGCTCCTAGCTCTTGTTATCTTTTCTTTGGGTGTTTATTTTATGCTTTCAGTTTATTCATTCATTTTGTATATACCTGAGCATATGTGTGCATTGCAACTTACTATTTTCCATATACTACTGGTGTATTATCTCTGTTTCTTGATTGGGTTGGGATGTTACTATTGAGGTAAAAGGCCCAGTACCCAGGCCATAGTTCACTAGGACACTAGGAATAGAGTGGGGGAATGATGGCTATAGGACGTGGTCCGACTAGTGCAGTCATGTCATATACCACACTCGGATGAGGTTCAATTGAAGGCATTTTCATCATGCACGTATGTGTTGCGCTGATTTTACTTTCAAACGAACCCGTGATTTTCGAGTTACCCTTGCCTTACCCTGACCTAATATTCACCCGTGAGCGGGGAGGGAATTTTTATCACAGGTACAGATGGTGACTATGTTTAGATGGTTACTCATGCTCAGATGGAGACTATGACCAGACAGTGACTATTGGTTCTAATGGTTATGTTTTGGATTTCTGTTGGTGACTTATTTAGATGCTATAATTCTGTTGGTGACTATATGGTTCTCAGATTTATTTTCTGAGTTCCTGATTTGTATACTTGGAGGTTCATTCAGGCCTTCGATCTTAGTATTCCCAGAATGTTCAGAAAAGGCTCAACGGTATCCAGTTCCAGAAGCCTTGATCCCGTACAATCAGTGATCTACATAGTAATTGGTTCTTATATGTGTAGAAGCTGTGCCAAACCTCTGATCTGGTGATATTCATATGATTCAGAATAACGCAACAATCATATTCAGAAATGATGTAATAATGGAACTTTGATCCTATGTCTTTGCATACATAACACGGTTAACCACATACTTAACATACATGTTGTGTTATTTCCAATGAATCATATTTGTAAGCCTTGTGCTAAACTTTTCCATCCTTATTTGCGTAAAATCAAACTAAAGCACTTAAATTCCTTAGAAATGAAGGAACTTGACATGGCATCCATTCATGCACCCCATGCACATTCATGCATCCATAACAGATACTCGAAGATTGGGGATTCTTATTCATATATGGTGCTCTCCTTGGAGGTTCAACTTGATTTCTTGCTCCACATGTTCAGAGATCAGTTATGGAACAACTCTGTGTGGTATACATGCATGCTTTGGCCTGCGGTCAGAAATTTCTTCGAGAAGGGAGATAGTCAATTAAAGACTCAGATGAACCAGGTCATGGAAGCTCTGACGATGATCAATAAACTTACTGCCTCAGCAGGTTCTCTCATCTCCTCATCTTTTGGGAATTGCTTCCAACCATGGAGTGCTACGCAATCCTGAGTTCTTGGAACATCTTATCAGCAGATGGTTCCCATTTACTATAGGATCTTATATCAGTGCTTCGTTGTTGTTGACCAACGTCAGACGTGGTTGCCACATCGGGGCATCAGACTTTTTAATCAGGGGCATCCTCCATAACTTTGTGTTCACTGATCTGTTCAACAACAACCAGTCTTTGTTCCCCTGGTGAATTTATGAAAAAAAGCTTTTAAGAAAAGACAGAAGATGCCTGATGAGCATTCTGTTACAAGCCCATTTCACTACATCCTATTATCTCCAGCTCTGATTTTTGGGATCCTCCTTCCACAAATATCTCTTTCGATTGTGATATACGTGCTAGATGTATCCCCTATTCTGAGGCACCCAGTTTTGATATCAAAGACTGTAAAGGCGTTGAAATATAAAGCCCAACACCTATCTGGCGTCTCTTCCAAAGGTCCAATTCCTATTTAGATAACTGTTGGACTCTTTCTCACTAGCTTGGATGTCTCTGCTATTCTGATAGAAGACGAACTGTATTCTTTCTTTATGGTATAAGATGTTTGGTGATACAATTCATGCTGATTCGCTTGGTAAAGCATTCATTCGTACTCCTGAAAGAATCTTCTATGCATTATTCTGAGGAACCTGACCTTTCGATTGAAGATGGTATGTCGTCCAGAGATAAAGTCCAAGACTAGCTCAATTCAAAGACTGTTGTGTTCATATCAGATCAGAAGGGGAATTCTCTCGCCCATTCAACCATTGAGACTATGGAAAGTCGTCAGAATGAAGAAACCCATACAGAGCCAAGTCTCCTAAACAATGGCAATCATTGGTTTCTTTATTGCATTTTCATTTGCACTCTTGCTTGTTTGTTTAAACATTGCTTGCATATAGAAACATGTCTATCTTAATGCAATAAGTACGCTTATCTTGAAGTGTTATTTTCATTTTTATTCATTCATTCATTATCACTCTTTAAATGTTTTACTTGCATATTGATGCCAAGTTTCCAAGTCTTATGCTTAGGAAAATATTGGAGGGAGAATGACGATAATCTAAAAATGCAAAAATCTCTGGTTGGTATGCTTTTGAATAAGACGTTGCTGACGATGTACAAGCCTTGTTTCTATTCCTAAACACCAGAGATATAAGGGAGATAGACCCTCGCTAACCCCTCTGAGCCTTCGAAGTAGGAGTTTCTTTTCTATTCAGAAAAAACCCTCATTTCAACCCTGGGGCAGGTAGTGTTTAGTTAATGTGATCAAGCATTCATAACTCATAAAAAGTGTGCATCCAGGGATACAACATTGATTATCCTTCAAAAGTTTGAGGAAAGTCAAAACCACAATGGTTAACCCTCATCTATCAGCAGCTTGCATCAATTAACGATATCGCAATGGGTATCTCACGCACATCAAAAAGTTGAGATTAAATGACAATACAACAATGGCTATCCCTCATCTACCAAAGACTCAGACAGTCACGATTACTTCTGACAAATCAAAGACAACA